ACCGGGCGCCGGCGCCGGCGCCGCCGCGCAGCCCGACAACCCGGCCGCGCCCGGCTCACCCCCAGAAGCCGCAGGCGCCGCCGCCGGAGCGGCGGCCGCAGCGGCGGCGGCCGCGCCCCCCGCTCCGGTGATCGCGCTGCACTATGGCGGCCGCACGCACCACATCGAGGTGGCCGCGGGCTGCACCCTCGAGCGCTTCCAGAGGACCGTGCGCGCCCGCCTGGGCATGGCGCCCGGCCAGCCCTTTGACCTGAAGTTTAATGTAGAGATCGGCGGCGGCGAGCGCGTCACGCTCTGCGGCGCCGCGAGCTTTGACGCCGCCGTGTTCTGCGCGTCCCTGACCGCCGCGCGCCGCGTGGCGGCGACGCCGGCAGCCAGGTGGGCGCGCCGGCGCGCGCGGGTCGCGGCGGCGGCGAAGCGCTTCATCGTGGCGGCGCTGTTCGGCGTGCCGCCGGGCGCCGGCATGAGCATAGTGGATGCGTCCGTGCCCGGCCGCGCCGCCGTCAGGGCCGCCCCTGGCCGCGCGCCCGGCTGCCAGCCGGCGGAGGCCCTCGGCGCCGCGGCGTCCGGGTCGTCGGTTGGCGCCCAGAGGTGACTGGTGCGGCGGCCTCTTTTTGGAGAGACTTCAGTGGTGTGCAGGGCTGGAATGAGCCCGATCATCAAGGTGATGTGCTGCCGGTTGCCAGCCCGGCCGCAGAGGCCCGGGCTTCAGCAAAAGAACTGCGGCAGGCACGCGCGCGGCGCGCGCTGGAACTGTCCCCACAGCGGCACGCGGCGGCCGAGAGGCGCTCAGTGCTGCACGACGGGCTGCACAAGGACGCGCCTGACCCTGGCCGCCCTCTGCGGGTTCCTGACTCATAGCTGGACCACTTTGTTTTGACCCTGGTCTCTCGTCCGCTTCTTGCCTTTCTCACCTCCCTGACCTAAACCCAGCCCCTAGCTGCCCGGCAAACTTAGCACCCGCGCACTGACGCTTCCCCCATGCAACGCCATAGCCGGTCTCACCTTATCGCGCGCAGCTGGGCACATGCACGCGCGCGCACACGCCAGCATATGGCAGCACTGATCTCCTCCTTCCCTGCCAACCTTCTTATGGGGGCAAGGTCTTGCATCGTACTTTTCTCCACTTGACACTCGAGCTTTCTGCCCACCTCTTTGATGAGGGAGGGCGTTTTGGCAGCTGTCTCGTAGCTGCAGCACTGAAGTCGCCCACACTCGCGCTGCGCACTAAAGTCGCCGAGAAGCGCCGCAGACGCGCTACCAGCAGCGGTGCGAGCGACGCTTGGCGCACGACTCCGCCGCGCACCGCGTCAGCAGTCGCCACGTGCAGCTGTGCGGGCGTCCGTCGCAACTCTATGCAAGGCCGTCGCCGCCGGCCGACCAGCCGCACGCTCTCCACATGAGCTCAACCAATCCGTGTTTCCCGCCTGGTGCTTTGTTGTGTTGCCGGCCTCACCCCGGCTTTTGCTTTGCTGCGCATTGCATCAACTTGCCGACAGCAGCCCTGATGCCGCCGGCAGGGCAATGCGGGCATCCTGGGTACCCCCTCCGCGCGTTCCGACCGGACTTGCAACCGTCCTCCATGCAGGAGCCGTGCACACATGCCCTGCATCACGTCTTGAGGCACCGAGCGGATCGAATAGTGCGCAAAGGGCAACGCGATATCGGCGTGGCAGCGCCGACTTATTGTGCCTCAGCCAGCGATGGGTGCGGTCAGTTGCGTTTTTGCCGCTCACCCTTTCTCTCCTTTATTGGGCCTCAATGCCCCTGGCCGCGCCAAACGCAACCCCCTTTTCCTGCGCACGCCCCTGTCTGCGGGGAAAGAGCAGCGATGCACACGCACAAGCATTGGAAGACACTCGGGGCCCCGACACGCTGAATTATTAGTGGCACATTAGTGGTAATATGACTTGACGACTGCTGCTCTGCCACAGCATCAGGCGTCAATGGTGCCATGTCATCACAGCCCTCCTGGATGCAGCGATTACCAGCCAGGGCGCAACACAAAACAAGAGTCCACAGATAGCAAAAGCAGGAATGGGTGCGGCTGTGCAACGGATGGTGCACATGTGCAGATAGATGCCAGGTCGCCTCGCACGAGGCAAGGCTGTTGCCCAGAAATAATTGCGGATATTGAAGGATGGGCAGGGGCCTTGGCGCAACGGCCACCCCCAAACGCTTGCGGATACACATTAGCACCAAAAAGCATCGACACCTTGCAACACCCCACAGGGGGGAGCAAGGCGTCCGCCATGGCAGGGATTGCAGGGGGTCGCGGCCCCATACCTTGGCTGCTGCTGCGGCGGCGTCTCACACCTCGTAGGACCCCATGAAGGCGTACTTGGTGCGGTTGCGCTCAAACACGCGCTCCGCGAGTGCCAGCTGCTCGTCCCCAAAGTCGTAGAGGATCCCGGGGAAGTGGTACAGCATCTCCTGGACCTGCGGAGGCCGGGCGGCGCGGGCCGGGGCGGGCCGGTGCGGGCCAGTGCGGGCCAGTGCGGGCCGGTGCGGTAGTAGCAGGGCTCAAAGTTGGGGATGCGGCAGCGTTGACACGCCAGGCCAGGGACGGACGCCACGATGGGGCTGCCCAGCGGCATGCTCAGGCGGCTGGGCAATGGTGCCGCCTGGGGAGCACGCAGCGGCTTGTTTTGCCGAGCGAGGCCGAGCGCGGCATCATCGAAGGTGGGCGGCACGTGCCCGCGGCCCCGCCCGCGCGCCCGGCCCACCCGCCCACCCGCTCCTCCGACAGCCCCAGCGCCCGTAGCCGCGCGAGGGTGCCCTCGAGCGCCGCCTCCTCGGCTGCCAGCAGCCGCGCGTGGCAGAGCAGCACGCGGGTCGCGATCTCCCGGTCCGACCAGGGGCCCAAATTCCTCAGGAATAGGATGGCGCGGCCTGGCGGCGGCGGCGCGACAAGGAGCGCGCGTGGTTGCAGGGAGGGCGCGGTGGGACGCTCGGGTTACGAAAGAACGGCGAGGGGGCGCAGCAGCAGCGGCTGGAGGGCGCTGCAGGACGGCCGCGGTTGCGTGCACGCAGGGGGATGGGAGGCGGCCACGCACGCGCTGTGCCGAGCAGGGGCCGGGTGGGTGCGAGCGTGCTGGACTTGGATTCAGCGGTAGGAGGGCAGCGGGCACTCAGGGCAAATGCCCTTTTCGCGCCAGGCGTGGGCCATGCAAGGCCGCCCCACCCGCTCTGAAGACGTCCGTAGAGGCCAGCGCGGCGTGCTGATACCGCAGCACCGACCACACGACGTCATCGGTCGCCCACGCCTGCAGGCGTTTGGTGGCGCCGGCCGGCGTCGGGGCGGGCAGCCGGGCAATGGCGAAGCAGCTCGGGGCACCGCGAGCAGCAGCTTGTTCCCCGCTGCAGGCACCCAGCAGCTAGCCGACGGGCCGGGCTTGCTATGAGACACAGCCGCACCTCCAAGAACGTGATCCAAGACTTGAGGTCCAGTCGCAGCGCCTGTGGCGACCCCACTGCGATGTCACGCACGTGCCGCGGCTTGAACCGCGCCGCGAGTGCTGTCAATGAGGCGCGCAGCGCGGCCTCGTCCGCACCGGCGAGCGCAGGTGCCGCGGCCGCGACGTCGGCCTCGGTCAGGGCGCCGCATTCAATGAGAATCGAAACGATGCGCTCATCGCGCCCGCTTGTGCTGGGCTGGGCGTCGGCCGTTGCAGCTCGCGCTGCATGCACCGCAGGCGTGGACCGCACGCTCCTAGCAACAGTGCTGCAACCACGCTGCTGGAACGATCCCGCATTTCGCTGCATCATTGTCCTTGTCACGGAAGACATGCTCCCACCCGTTATCCTGGTTGGCTTCTAAGCTCTCGTTGCACGGAACCGCTGTTCGCGCGTGCAGATCTGGGATCTGCACCAATAGTCATGTGATTTCATGATGATTTTTTTTGATGCAATTCAGCTTCTGCACACAGCAGGGTGACCGGCGCAAGTGATACACATTGTGCAAGTTGTTCTCCATATGCGTCTACCTTTGTGGCGATTGTGTAGCTATTGTATTGTTCTTCTGTTTTGAGGCGCGCGGTCCCTGTCAGGTCAGGTTCCTGTGGCAGAGCGAGCCACAATTGGCGCTTTTGGGGTGTGGGTGGGGTCGCGGCGGTGGGGCGGGAATCGGGGTCCCCGGGCCCACCTTTGGCGCCTCAAAGTGGAGGTATTTGATGGAGAAGAGTCTGGCGTCCTCCTGGGTTTGGTAATGCATGTAGGATACTGTGGGTGGACGGATCAAAAAAACGTGGTGAATCAAGCACGGCTGACCGATCCAGAGAACGGTCACGCATTACGTGCTGCGACGCACCGAAAGTGCGCCCCCGCAGCCGGCTACAGCGAGCAAGGGGTCTGGCTCAGCGGCGGGCCGGGCGCCAGGGCAGGCCACGCCGTGTCACGCGCACTGCAAGCCCCTCGGCCCCCTCCGCGACAAGCGCCCGCGAGGGCGGCCCACCACTTTGTGCCATGAGAAGAATACCTTTCACATCCCCAAGTAGCACATAAGGGTGGTGACCCCCGGAATGTGGCACGCGCATCCCCCTCAGCAGGCAGCCCTGCAGGGGGCGAGCGGCGGGGCGGTATGACGCAAGCAGGGAAGGCGTGGGGGGCGCCGGCGCGGCCCGGAACTGGGGCGGCGCTGCCGGCCGCAGGCTCGCCGGAATGTGCTGCCACGTAAATCGACGCGCGCGCCCGCGCGCGCCGTCCCGCGTTGGCGGCGCACGCGCGTGTCGGCCCGCTTCCGAACGGCACCCCTGCCCCTCTTCGGCGCTCCCGCACCCTCGCACAAGCATGCGACGTTCCCAGTTGCGGGCGTGTGCACAAACGCACGCACGCGCGCGCGCGCGCGCACACACACACACACACACACACACACACACACACACACACACACACACAAACACAAACACAAACATGCACGCACACACACGCGCGCGCGACCCACGTCCAGGCTGCGCTGGTTCCCCCGCGCACTGGTGGTGCGCCGACCCCAGCTACACATGCGCCTGTGGCTTCCTGCGGCTTCATGCAGTGCCCAAGGCCGGCGGCCACACTGCGGTCATGCTGAACGGGCGGGTGAGCAGCAGCAAACCGCAGCACCAGCAACTGTTTCAGCGCCGAGGGACGAGGGGGCTGCCCTGATGATGGCTGGGGTTTTGGGGCTGGCCTTGTCAGCAGGGTTGCCCCTGCGCGCGGGGCACGTGAGCAGTGCATCGCCCGCACCTGCCCACACAAAGGCATGCCAGTAATTTTTTTGTGTGCAGCTGGGGCTGTACGTGGAATAATTCACAGGGTGGCGCGGCGCAGCTGGATCAGGGTCCAGGCTATCCAGCGTCAAAACACCCAGAAATTGGACCCTGTGGGCCACGGCGAGGTTGCCGGCGGCGCGGCGCGGGCGAGGCTGCCTGCTAGCAGCGGCCCCATGCCCCGTGCATTGCTCCCACTTTCACACCCCCCACCCCGCGGGCCGTGCCTTTACCGTGACTGCATTTGCCCTCAAGTGGCCGACTCCGCCCCACCTGGACAGAAATTCTACATCATCGTTCACAACACCGGCGCCAAGAGTGTGTGCACCCCTCTTCATCGCGCCCCTGCACACACTCACTGTGTGCCGCTTATACAGCGTTGGCGTGCCCGAAGTGGGCCAGTCACGCAGCATGACGTTCAACCTTGATTGTGAAAACAGACACGGACACAAGATACATGAGTTTGTAACAATGGGGGCTTGAACTTGAGCTGATGCTTCAAACGGCTGAGGCTGCGCGCTGCACGGCGTCAACAGGTTCTGTGGCCAGCGGCCAGCACGGCAGGGGCCAAGCAACCGACGGCGACAATGGTTAGAGATGCAAGAGACGAGAAGCTCCGCCCCGAGGGCCGGCGCGCGGCGCCTCGCGTGGCGGTTGGACAGCTGCCGCAGCGTCTCGAGGCAGTCCTGCAGGTGCTCGCCAGCCACGAAGCCCCACATGCCGTTGATCTTGGCCAGCGCGCCACAGCCCTCCACCCAGTGGAGCGGCTGCTCGTCAGATGCCCTGCGTGCGGGCCGTTGGGCGGGACGCGCACGCACTCGCCAGAAGGTCGCGCGGGCGAGGTGTACATTTTTCAGGGGCCTCAGCTTCGTGGCGCCGCCTGACTGGGATCGGCCGACCTGACCTACACCCACAGCCGAAGGAGGCTGCTTGCGGCAGGCGACCACAGGCCGCGAAAGGCGCCGCCGAGCAGCGGCCGGCCAGCACGTTCGGTGCTCGCGCCCAGGACGCACCATCATCCGCGCAGCGAGCATCAGCCTGCGAGACACACAGGCCGGGGGTGAGCCGCACGCGGCCAGGCGGAGTCAAAATGGTTTGGCAACTACCCCAAGGGCGAGAGGCTGGCATGCGGTGGTTTCGGTGCCGGCCTGCAGGGTGCCTCTGCCGAACGGCGCTCAACTCAGGCTGGGCGCGGCGGCCGCCCGGGCGTGTTGGAAGGGGGAGCCCACTCTGGGCCAGGGCGCGAGAGCCGTGTGCGGGCGGCGTCATCACCAAGTCAGGCTGACACAGGGCGTTCCCCGACGCCTTGAAGCAGGTACTTGCAAAGTCTGAAGGGGGTGTCGCAGTTGAGGTGCGGAGGCAGCCACGCGTGCGTGCAAGGAGGTGGCTGGGAGGGGCAAAGCAGAGCTAGCGGCGGCCGAGGGCACCCTGACGTGGCGTTTGGTCCACGCGGGCGGCGACGTCTTACACTCGCAGCTGCACGCCGACTGTAGGCAATTGCAGAGCCGCTCCCCAGGTCATCCAGACTGCAAGGCGCGTGTGTGCCTGGTCATTGCATTGTTGCCAGCCCTTGGCATCCGCGTCAGCCCACACCTGGGTCCTCCATGTCCGATAAGTCCTTGTGGCGCGGACCCTCCTCCACACACACACACACACACACACACACACACACACACACACACACACACACACACACACACACACACACACACACACTTGCGCAAAGCATGCGCAGACGCACACACGTACGTGAACACACGCTCACACATAAACACACACACACACATAAACACACGCACACACACACACAAACACACACACACACACGTGCGTGCGCGTGCCAGCGCGCACTCACATGCAGGCGCGTACACAAATGCATCCTCGCACATGTGCATAAATCTCTCACATTAAAACGCAAGCACATGCACGTGCTGTACACAAACACACAAACTCCTTTCCCCGACACACACACTAGTTGCAAGTACACACACGCGCCCCCACATACGTGCACGCATAGAAAATCATGCACATGTGCGCGCGCGCGCACCTTTGTTCAGTGCACGATCTCGCCCTGGTCTCGCGCCAGCAGCTGCCTCTCGTCCTCCTGACAGTCCCGCGCCTCCCGCTGCAGCGCTGCGATCACCGCCGCTGCGCTTTCCTCGCCCTCAAGGCTGAGTCAGCAAACAGGTCGTCATCAGTCGGCTGCACCATCTTCGGCCTTCTGATTGGATCCTGCTGCGTGGACTGCTGCTGGTGCTTGGATTGCTGCTGGTGGTGGTGGTGCTGCTTGTGCTCAACCTGCTGGTGCTCAACCTGCTGCTGCTGCAGCCGGTCCTGCTGCTGCTGGCGCCGGCCGGCCTCCCCTTGCCGCCGGTCCCTCTGGGCCCTCGCGCCCCTGCCCCTAGCCGGAGCCAGCGCGTCCAACCCGCGCAGCTTAGGCGCGCCGCTGCTGCTCGGCAAAGCGCACTCCTGCCAAGGATGCCAGGATCTCCCTGGGGGTCTGGATGTGCCTGCGGTCACCACATGGTGGGGACCCACAGTAGAGAGCCAGTTGTGGCATGGAGAGCAGCGCTGGCTCCGCCGGCACCAGCAGAGGCACGGCAAGCGCAGGGAGATCGCAAGACGGCATGTGGGCCGGGGCGAGGCGGCAGCCGGTAGAAAGCGAGGATGCGCCATAGCGCGCCAGGTGGCGACGGTGGGACTCACGTCAGGGCCAGGGGCACCGCCGCGGCCGCGAGCCACTCGCGCTTGGGCGCGTCCGCCGCAGGCGCGGCGGCGGCTGCGATGCTGACAAGGCGGTCCGCGGTGGCCAGGGTTTGGTCCTGCGAGCACCGCGCCTCGCGGACGTGAAGCTCCCACCTGGTGCGTTCCCGCCGCCGCGGCGGAGGGACGCCATGGGGGAGGGGGTGTTGCGGTGTCATCTGCAAACGAGCGGACGCGAGCTTGCCGAAATGATTTCTCGACGCGTGTTGTCGCCGCAACCGGCCAAAAGACCATCCCCCCTAACGCACGCCGGTTTGGTGAGGACCTGCTCAGCGCACGGGTGGAGTCTGGGCGGCCCTGATGATCAAGCCCCCAACCGGCCGCCTCGCCCGCACGCACGGCGCTCGCCTGCACCGAGGCAGGAGGTCTGACAGCATACGCCCCATGACTCCTTGCTCAGCAGGCCAGACTGCACGACCGCCGCACGGGTCAAGGGACTCCGAGACGCCTGGGCAGCGGGACAAACGGTGACGCTGGGATGAGGGCGTGGGGTCTAAGGGGAAGGGGCCAGACGAGCCTCATGGCGGGCCTTGGCGGCGAGTTCAAAAGGAGAGCGGGCCTGCCCAGGCTGGCCCAACGCGCCACATTCGCACGGCCGGCGGGCCCCTCTGCCCGCTCCGCGCCGGCCTGCAGCGTGCGTGACCCCATTCAAACCCCATTCGCAGCCGCCGCGCCGCCCCGCCCGCCGGGCCCGCCGCTTACAGCAGAGATCGCCTCAGCGGCGCAGCGCCTCAGGCTGTACCAGCGGCTCAAGGGGCCGCC